ACAAATTTGTTTTTAGACACTTGTTTTGTCTATGCCAAGGCAGACTGCCAGGGACTAAAGGCCTCCCGGTTTTATAAGATAATTTAATTAGTGCACACACAGACAGATTAAAAGTCTTTAGAATTGAATTTATGTTAAGGTTTGTCAAGGTCAACAAGTAACAACATTCCATGTGGAAAGTTAGCATGTCATACCATGGGAGGAAAATGGACATGCCATAACAAACAACAGTTTCTGGTGATGAGCTCAAATCAATGGTAATGTTCTTCTAAAAAACAAAGAGAGGAGGATGAGCTTCCTGCCATAGTCACTACAGTGTCTTATGTTTCAAAAGGATTCAAAGCTCAAACCCTATTAGTCCACTCATATGAACCAAATGGGTCCCAGTGGGTCACTTAACAGACTAATGAGACTTGATGGGCTTGTGGTGTTGGACATCATGGCTAGCTGTGGCTTAAAGCTCTGACTTGTGTATTTGCAGTCCCACAGCTATTACACTCAGTAATTATATACACGCTAGTCTCCAGAGTGGCCCACCAGTGCCTAAATTACAGTCGGTGGATAAACCACTGCAAAGTAAGAAAATAAAATTACTTGCAACAAACTTAACATACCAAATTCTATGGCCAACAAAACTAGGACAAGAATTGAAAACAACTCTTTGGAAATGAAGGTCTCTTGTTTACATCTGTTTATGTAGCACATTTAGTTTTCATTCAGTAAAGATGGAATTCACTGTGAGAAAGGTTATGGGAATTGACATTTAAGTTCATTCATTATTAGCAATGAGAGGATAACAAGTGTTTTATCTGTCAGCATTTATTCCCACTGCTTGCCTTGTAGCATTATATATTGGAGAAGCACTACTGAATATTTATGGAAACATTTGGCGCTCCTCCAGTATATACTGTGATTTGCATGCTGAAATGCAAGAACTGCTAATGATCTACTGTATTACTTTCATCGAGAGCTGTGCATTTTATTTATAAAAACTTAAAAAAGTCTATCTGAACAGATAGAGTTGTTCAGAGGTGTAGAGCCTGGCAGGTTTCCTTCCAGTGTCCAGCCATAACATTACACCATGGCCACAGCTGCTGTGTCGCCGCTGATCTGTCCCGAAGAAACATGATCCTGTTTATAATCTGACCATCATTTGGATGCAGACTGTCCGCGACGCCAGACCCATGATTTATCCCAGTGCGTGTGTGTGTGTGTGTGTTTCTTAGAGATAGATTTACGAGGGCTGTATGAGGGTGAGGTATAGGTCTTGAGGGACTGAAAGTATCCCACGACACATTACTTGATGTAGTCCCACAAGTAATAGTCCTCCTTCTCACCAGCATTAACTGTGTTTGGAAACCCTCACATATTGGCAACAAAATATTTGTGTGTGTGTGGGTAAATATGAATGATCGATAATATATAGGAAGGTTATTTATAGTACTTACAAGTTACACTCCTTAAGAGCTCTTGTAAATATCATTGGAAGACTGTGCAGTATTATTTGTTTTGCCTTAGAGAAATGGTTAGAAACATACATATATGTGTGTCTAGGAAAATGTTTTCTGTAACAATCTCAGTAATATATTAGGGCAACTGTGACTTACACTAATCAGAAGGTTGGCAGTTCAATCCCCGGGTCCTCCCGCTGCATCTCCTTGAGCAGGAAACTGAGCATTGGTGTATGATTGAATTCGTTTTTGAACGTGTGTGAATAAGTGAATATGGCATGTGGTGTGAATCTCTTTGTGTGGTTGGAAGACTAGAAAGGTGCTATATAAGTACAGTCCAGTACTTTTATTAAACTGATATCTTGGCAGTTGCTCTATCATCTGCCCCAATTTAAATTTACTCAAGTATTCAGTAACAGTTGTTGTTGATACAAATGAGTCATGCATTTGTGTTTTGTTAAGAAATGCCATTTAAAATCAATTCAATCAGGTGGCACAACATATTGTTTCTTCTATAACCAGTGTCATCATATCGCATAGAATATTTTACAGTTGTCTCTGATAGAAAAACTCATTTTCCCCAGTTTTTGTTTTTATTACAGTATATCAGTAGTAAGTTAATATCAACCACTGTAGGTCAAGTTCAAATGCTAATGAGAAACCTTGTGCTGATGTACTGTAGCTTCAAGTTGTTGCTGTTTGTTGTGTGAAAATGCAGCGAAGGAAAAAAATATTATTATATATATAGAGTATCTCATAATGAAATCGTTTCTTGTTTCAACTAAACAGTATATGTTGTCATAATAAGACTGTTTTGCTATAATGACCATGTTTATTATGACTCGTATTCAGTTGAATGGGACAAGGATTTCAGAATTACTGTTCTCATTTCGTTTACCATCTTCTCATCTGAAGGCTGTAAAATCTTAAGCGTGGCCAAATACATGTTGATGTTATGCCATCCATCTGGTGCCACTCATCACTAGAACCAACTGCTAAGACAGTTTACACATTCATGTCAGGATATGGTTGCATACCTTTTCCAAAATAAGCCCCAGTAAATGATAGCCACAATTATGAGGCCTTTCCTGGTTGATGTGCAGTGAGGCCCAGTGTTGTCATAGTGTTGAAGCAAATCTCTGTTAATGCATGGTTCAAACCCAGAGTTACTACTCTGAAACTACTACCTGGCTATGTGCTTTCATCATTACACAGCCTTTATATATCTATGGGAGATCCCTAGAGATCCCTACTTACTTGCATGGAAACACAATGTGTAGACTTTTTTTTATGTACTGTAGCGTAACATAATTTGTACGGATTGAATTACTTGGTGCACTGACGGAGAAATAGCTGGAACATCTGTGCACTGTACTCCCTTTGTGCTGAACATACAATACAGAAGGAACATAATTAAAAGGGGCTTTCTGATTGTTTTGATTGTGCAAACTCTACTTTTACTTATTTACTTAAAACAGAAATTGAAAATCTATAATGTATGCTAGGATAATTATCCTATACATATCCTATACACATAAGTGGGAAATGCCAGATTGATGAAAGTGAGTAATAGACAGTAATATTCTACAGAAAATTCTTG